GCTCACCGGGCGGGAGGGGGCGTGGCGGGCCATTGAAGTGAATGGCACCGTAGCCATGCCCTCCAGTCGCAATGCGATCGCCCACACGGGATCGCACGGCACATTATGCCTGCAGTCCGTTCCGGTGAGATCAAAATAGTGCTTGCAGCAATTTGATTGCACCGCACCGGAACGCACTGCATTCACTTTAATGGCCCGCCACACCCCCTCTAACCTAGTTTCTAGTTCAGCCTGGCCAGGCTATACTGAAAAGATAAGCAGACAGCCAATATACCTCCATATGCATTCAGCTTAAAGTCTGTAGATGATATTATCAGTAAACAGATGGAAATTTGAGCTTGCAGGACCCTTGATGATTACAGTAACCACTTGTAGCACTTACCCCCGAAGTAGCCGCTGGAATACCTGGGCATCCATATCCTGTCTAGGGGATTTTAGCAACCAGCTGCCCCACTAGCATTAACTGCCCTCTTCTATTGTCCAACAGAGTTGAGATCTAGGCGAATAGGGAGAGAGGGTTTAGGGCAGGGATGTCCAAACTGCGGCCCTCCAGCTGTGGTGTAACTACCAATCCCATAAGGCTTTGCAAGATTCTCACAGCCACAGATATGTCTCCCGGAGAGAGATGCTTCATGGGATTTGTAGTTTCACCACAGCTGGAGGGCCGGAGTTCGAACATCCCTGGTTTAGGGCTTAGAACAGGGGTAGGCAACCTTGACACTCCAGCTGTTGTGGAACTACAAGTCCCATGAGGCATTGCAAGGCTCTGACAGCCACAGACATAACTCCCAGAGGCAGATGCATGTTGGGATTTGTAGTTTTGGCACAGCTGGAGTGCCAAGGTTGCCTACCCCTGGCTTAGAACATCCAGGAGAAAAAAATAGATAGACTCCAGATTCGCCAGTCCCTTTCAGAATTCCAGTACAGATTACATAGGAGCACAAATTGACACTGGGTATATAAGAGAATGTTGAATAGGGATTGGCACAGAGAAGGAGAGGTCCACTCTATTTCAGGCACCTCCAGCAGCCAGCAGCTTCCCTGGTTCTCCTCCTCAATCAGTAGCAAAGGCCTCCTCCAGTTTCGAGGCCTAGCAAAGCATTTCCTGCACTTGAGTATTCCCATCTCAAGGCCAGGCTGGACTGCACCCAGCCCTGACTGGACTCTGGGCTATCCCAGAACTTGACTGAGCACTTGCCCTGTCTCAGCATGCACCACTGGCTATGAGAGCCCCAGTAATTGGCTGGTGTACTGCACACACACTCACAGTGTCTCCCATTGGTTGTCCCACCCTGCAGCAGAGTCACACTCCACTCAGACAGGTACAATAAATGCCAGATACCTGGAATTAACCAGCCAACTATAATTCAACAAGACCGACTACAGCTCTGGCAATCACTAAATATCTAGTAGCCACTCCACTGAAGGTTGAAGGGGCCACACACTCAAAGAAAAGGACTAGAAAGGAATAAATGTGAAAGGTTATATTTGCAAATTTGCTTGGATTGTTTGGGTTTAGTAAAGTAGCGGAAGGGTTTTAAAAGTTGTTTTATGTTTGAATTTATGTATGTAATTTGTATTTTGTCCCTATGTTACACCAGAAAACTATTCTCATTTTTGAACAGCTAATTGCGAATGGTTAACAGATCTTCATAAAGCAGAACTCCAGGAACATGGCTGTTTTATTGTTTCTGTTGTATGAACACTGCTCCCTGGATTGTTTGACTTCATTTAAAAAGGAAAATTCTAATATGAATTTTGCTGCGGTGTGTGATTAAATAGTTTAAAAGCAATCTAAAAGAGGGAAATTGTAATTGCTAGCTTCATAAGAAGCAAATATTACTTTGTTTAAAGCTGTAACCTGGATGCTGTGTCCTGGAAATTAAATATGATCAGCCCTTGCTTCAAATTCACATCTCCCAGTCAGTTAGAACAAAGACCTTTGCTATGCAGAGTGCAAAAAGTGAAGATGGCGCTGTAAGTGCAGTTAGCCATACAAGCCGCAAACATCACCTTTTATCAACATGAGACATTTAGAACTGTAGGGTGATTGGTTGCTGTGGCTTGTAGCAGTTTAAACATTGCACTGCTTATTAAATAAACCTCTAAGTGTAATACAGTATTAGGTGTTATAAATCTAATAAAAAAACACCAGCACCTTCATATCTGAACCATGTGTTTTTTTTTAACCTGAGCTTGATACAGTGTTTAAAATAATAAACTCACATGGTAAGTTAGTCATAAAGTCAATTGATTTCTATGGCGTTGTACCCACTGCTTCGTTACAATACATTTATTGTCCCGCGTTTGTAACTGGGCTTTTGTTAGAACCACCTTGCTGCCTTTTCCTGCTTTTGAAGCAGTTTGTGTGTTCATGAATGTAGTTTGTTAAAAAAAGAGTAAACACAATGCACATAGGCACAAGGTATGGAATCACTATATACTATATGTGTTTACCAACATTCATAGTAGAAAAAAAACCCAGCTATTATATGCGCATGTAAACCTAATTTCAATGAGCAATCAAAAACAAAGTGTACCTGCGCCACCTTCACCTGTAATGGAAAGACCAGGGATTTATGGTTCCTGACAAGGCTTCCGTTCGCCTCACTCCGTGTGCAAAAGAAGATAAATATTGTGGCACACAGCTTCCAAGTACCAAGACTTTATTAAAAGTAAAATTACAAAATAGCACACACCGTAACCATTAACGCGTTTCAGCCATTTCCGGCCTTAATCATAGCAATGATTAAGGCCAGAAACGGCTGAAACCTGATTTCAAATCTCAGATAATTTTTATCATGTTAATGTAAGTCATTTTCATTTTTTTTAAATATGCTGCTTTAATTAAACCAATAACTGGTGATCCTGCCAAGAAGGTCCTTGTTCAGGCACTTCCTGTTATGGGGTGACATCACTCTGTCCTTGTCCCGTTGTCACCATCAGCAAACCCACCCTAAAAAATACCATGCAGCTGTCATTGCAGTACATCCATGTAGACAGGAAGCGGCTGAGAAAAGTTGCAAGAGATGAGCAGCACTGAGGTGCAAAAATGGAAGAAAAATTGTAAAAACAATGTTTTCTAAAAGACCAAAACATAGCAATTGTTTATGTTACCCACTGCTTTATCTAACTAAATATCACCCAGTTAGAGATTAGATCTACTTTAAGGAGTAATTGAGATAAAATTGATGTGCTTAGTTTATAAATATTTTATTTGAATATCATTTATTTATTTATATGCAGGGTCCATAAACAACCCACAATGAAAAGGTCAAAAGAGTACTTAACTTAATAATGCCTTGGGCAATGAGAAATGCTCAGAGGAAATGACCTAATAACACCATCGGGAGAAAATGATTTAATTGATTCAGTCCAGATATTGTGAAAGCACAGATGTTTATGTTAACCTAGTTTTGTTCCAAGAACAGAGCGATATGGCACCATACATCATGAGCATATAGACTTGAAAAGTGGGAAACATTGGAACTGGTCCTAGGTTACAGTGAAGTTGGCCATACACGGTGAATCGTCCAAAATTCGACCCATGGGTGGCCGTGCTGACACCACTTGGCTCAACAATTTTGGATTGAGATCTGGAAGGAATGAAAAAAGTCTGCCGAGTGACTGCAACCAATTAGCTGCAGACAGTCAATGTTTAGGTATTGTGACAGCCGTGCCACAGTCACGGGGAAATTTGTCCATGTTGTTTTGCAGGGAAGGGAGAATAAAGTGATTTCTCTTGTTCAGCTCAACAGGCTGAAATCTTTACCTGTATGGCTAGCCTTGGGTGGACTGTTTTATTGAACCTGAGGCAAGGAAATCTGGAGAAACACTGGCACAGTTGCCTACAGTGGCCACTGATGTTTCATGATTTATTCAGTAATAAGCCCAACTGCAGCAAAAAAACTTTTTTTTAAAAGGTTTAGAATCTCTAGCAACTTTTTTATTGTTGTTTTTGGTCCTATTTGGGAGATTTATCCTTAATTCCTTTTGATGGTTGTCAGAACAGTAAGTTAAGGAAAACGTAGCCCTTCCTACAATTCCCATCATGCCTCTGCCTCTGGGATTCATGTATGTGGCTGTCAACCTCTTGCATTGCGTTATGGGATTTGTACTTTCACAACAGCTGGAGTGCCGAGATTGCATACCCCTGCCATACATTTTAGGTGAAACACTTAATTAAATGTGCGATCTAGGTCCATGAAAGACTTTCTAATATGTGGTTTGTAGGCATGTCATCATGAGATCCGAGAATAATTGAAATCATTATTTCAGAGTCACAGCAAGGAGACTCTTCATGCCTTTTACTATTACTTAGATGTCAATGGAGAGCTACTTCATATGGATATGCTTTGTGTTTGTTCTTGACATGTTCCAGAGATAGATATATCACTGAAGTTTATTAGTCCAGACAGGGCCGGTGCTAGACTATTTTGCGCCCTAGGGCAGACCAGCTACTTGCACCCCCAGCCCCCCTCCCATGGCTTAACCCCCAATCCCCCCTGGCACGGCCCCATTCTCGTACCAGTTAGCTTCTGCAGGAGAAAGGTGGATGTAAGCAGCCGGGAGAAATAGCCAGACTGCTATTGGCTATTTTAATTTGAAATAGCCCATAGCACACTGGCTATTGAAACCACGAAACCCCACACACTGAGCAGAGGACCTGAGAGAGAAAGGTGTCTCTAAGTTCCGCTCTTCTGCTTAGTGGGAGGGTGTAATAGCCAGCATGCTACTCGCTATTGCAAGTTGAAATAGACGGGTGGCACTGTGGGGGAGGGGGGGTGGGTGAGTGGTCGAGGCTGCGTCCTAGGCAGCAGTGCGCCCTAGACGGCGGCCTAGTTTGCAGAGTGGCAGCACCGGCCCTGAGTCCTGGTCTCATCAGACATGGACCATCCTATGGATGGATGTTGTATATGTATAAGTTACAATCAGTTATAGTCAGCTGTATGTATAAACGTATGTCTCCCTTGCTTATTCTTCTTCTCTTTCATCTATAGGATGGAGTGGGTATCGAAGAAAAGTCATCCCTGAGGAGGGTGGCTGTTGTGGAAGATTTCTTTGACATCATCTATTCCATGCATGTAGAAACAGGTCCTAATGGAGAACAGATTAGGAAGCATGCTGGGCAGAAGAGGACCTACAAAGCTGTAAGTGGAAAAGTCTGGTTTTCACTTTCTATATGTTTGTTAACTTAATTGATTTATTTTTACTGTGCATTTGCAATGACTCTGTATATGTATTTTGAAAGCAAGTTGAGTGTGTTTTTTGCATTTGTATGAATTAAGTGACATTTGACAAGCTTACATGAGACTATTATTTATTTCTCAGCATGACCCGTTAATTTAATCAAATGTGAACATTAATGAAAAAGCTTCACAGCTAGTTGTTCTGCTGCAGTATATATTTATTATTTGAATTCTGTATGTACATACTGATTTCTGTATCTGTACATGTACTGTGCATACAGTACATATTGGATTCACAATTAATTTACCATGTAAATAGATCCTTTACAAAAAGTAAAGTAGTGCATCAAAGTATACTTGAGAAAAAGAGAGCCGATGCCTACCGCAACCAAATTTTAGAGGCCATTCTCTAACCTGAACTAGGAAAATACAACATGGAGTCTGATTGCCATCAGCAAGACCTTCGCACCTCTTGGTTCTACTTTTCAGTTTAGGCTACTTTAAAAAAGTATTAAAAATGCTATGGACATCCAAGTATATTCTTAACTTCTTTAACAATCCGTCACTAACCACTGTAACTGCAGATACTGTAGAGCAATTCATCCTCAAAGTTAACAAAAGAAGCAATTCAAGTGGAGACTCAAAACTCTACACTCCGCCCTTTTAGAGTAGCTGCTATATGTTTACATAGAGATTAGATGGTTGGGAGACTGCATAGTCACTGCAGGGAGGGGTAGCAGAGTGAACTGAGCTGCAGAAATGCAACTGAATGTACTTTCTGTTATAAACTTTGAGAATGTATTATTCACCAGTGCTTGCAGTTAGGGAGGTCAGTGAAGGCTTGTATCAAAGTGTTATTAAACCTTCAGCACTTACCATGTTTAATGTGTGCCTTCCTTGCCAAGCCTCACATTGCTTTGTATTTTGCTTGTTAAAATTCTCTCTATTGTTTCTTGTTTTAGGGTGGCTGCATTGCCGTACAGGGTCCCATGGAGCCCTGCTGTAGCCACCCTTGTGTGCATGCTCCTAAGTGATCCAGGGCCAGTGACTGTGATAACTAATAAGTGCTTTAGCACATATTTGGAGAAAATTCTTTACTGAGGAGTGTTTTCTTGCTGGATGTTAACATATTAAAGGTAAAAAAGGAGAGTTTGATACTACAGTACTTTAACTGTGACTAAAAGGCTGTTTGAGTGCTGACCTTCCCTGTTCAAGTTTTGTGTCCTGTAAAAGAAATCACAGGAGACTAGGGTTGAGTTAGTTTCAGGTATTTATAGTGATTATATGTAAAAATATATATTTTGTTAATGAAACCATAACACAAGTTGGTTGTGTTTTTTTAAACATATATCTACTTGTTCTGATGTAACAGTCTAGCAGCAGATGTAACTGAGAAGATGTACATGTTTTTGTTTAAATTTATAACAATCAAAATATATATTTGTCATAAAATGTACTTATAGAGTTAAATTGCACTTTTGAAGCAAGTGCAGTTTTCCTAAAGAAGAACTGTAGCATTATTTAAGTACTATGCTGTTAATTCCTACATATACACGGGGCCAGATTTCAGATATGCCTTGGGCATTTTTGCTGGGCAATGCCCTGTAACAGCAATTATTTAAGGTCAGCTCTGCATACTTTATATCAAATCTACAAGTTAATAGAGGTAATTCAATGTTTTATTTTATTGATTGTTTTTCACATGTAATACAATAATGAAATATATATCTTGACTGTAGTTCTTTTCTAATAGTTTGGTGGGCTAATAAGGTATTGGTGCATGGAAGAGAACACCGTCTCTCTAACATTAATAATCAAGGACCAAATGATGTCAGCCATACTGATGCTCATCATTAATTGGTCTGAACAGAGCAAGAGCTAGTATTCATTTTTAGTATGAACTAGAAAAATGAAACAGCAGTTTGACTGCAGCCTGCCCTTGGACAGCCTTTTCAGAATGTGTTGGATTTACTTACAATTCTGTAGCAAAATTTGCAACTTTTGGTTCCAAGGAGCAATAAATAAACTGCTATGTTTGGCAGGTGTGCCAGCTCATACTGGTATTTGTTATTTCTTAAAAGGAACATTCATAATTTACAATCACATATGCTCTGGCAAACTTGATTGAATTGCACTTGTGAGGTCATGTGTCAACCAGCTTGATTTTGACATCAGTTGGAGATACTTCTGAGATCATTCCAAATTTATTGGCAGATGAAGTTGACCTCCTTCTGACCTGCATTTGACCTGCTTCATTTCCACAGACTTGAATGTGAAAGTGGTAGTTAAAATGCGAACAGACGAAATTGGACCTAGTAGACATCTCTATGACTAAGCCCATTATTGGATGAAACATGTCAAAGTGAAGAGGATCCACAGCAGGATGATATCTACCTGTGTGCTACAATAGATTTTTTCAGTGAAGTTTGTGGTGTGCAACCGGACTTTTTTCTGTGAGTATCTGCATATGCTGGAGCAAGACAGGCTCAACCAGTGTGCACCCGCCATTCTCTTTTAGTGCTGCTATGAAGGAGTAGTGATATTGGGCTATGGAAGTGTAGTACAGCAGAGGTGAATGCTTTCAACTAACAACTAGTATTGTGCAAGAAACACTAAGGGGGTTATTCACTAAAGAGCCGAAGGATCCAGTGGTAGCTTCGGCTGATCCTTTGGCTCGTTTCGGCCGCCTTTGCCCTTCAGTTCAGTCAAATTGAAGGGCTGCTGTAAGGCTATTCACAATAGCCCGAGCGGCTCAGCAATGCTGAACGCATATGCTTCGGCTCGGCTGAGCCGTAGTGACACCTGAAGCATGGAGAAAGGCCGGCTGAAGCCGACCAAACTCCACGAAAATAACAGCTGGGCGGAGCCAGCCGTGATCTCACAGCTCGCTCTGCCCAGTTGTAATGACAGATCAGCGTCCCCAGGTCATTGACCTGGGGACGCTGATCTGTCATTAAAAAATAGCAAGCAGTAGCAACTGGGCGGAGCCGGCCGTTACGTCATGGCCAGCTCTCCACAGTTGTTATTCATTGGCCAGGACCTGCTAGAAGACTCTGGCTGGTGTCGGCCAATAGGAAACAGTTGGGCGAAGCTAGCTGTCACTGCTAGCTCCGCTCAATTGTTTCTATTTTGCCGGCATCTGTCAGATGCTTCATTATACGGCGGGAGTTCGTCGCGTGCAGTCGGGTCGGCATGCGTCGTTTTTTAAATTTTTACATTTATTTATTCTTTTCTATTCTGCTGTACCGAGCCGAATGCCGCTCAGCTGCATTCTAGTATTCACTTACTGCTGTTCGCCCCTATGAGAATAGGGGCGAACAGCAGTGAGTGAGCTGACGGAGCTTTGGCTCAGCCAATCCAGATGTTGGATCAGCTGAGTCGAAGTCCTTCTGCACTTCAGCTCAGCCAAAAATGTAGAGCATGTTCGGCTGACCGAAGGCAGCCGATGTACGACTGATTTTAGCCGATGTATGGCTGAAATCAGCCGTAAAATCCTGAGGTGACTAGCCAAATGGCGTTCGGCTCACTTTGCTTCGGCAGCTAAGTGAATAACCCTATCAAACTGCAGTACCAAATATCCATAGCATTTGCTTTATACTGGAATGACATTTTTTTTGTTTTGTTTTTTTAAGTGCTGCCTTGAACCTTTTAAAAAAAAAAGTTCTGTGTAATCCATCGCATCTACAGCACACAATATTTTTCATGTTTAGTAGGGGGCTATTTGTACAACTTTCTCTCTCTTTCTATCAAGTATGTTACAAGGTCACTGACAAATGACATAGGGATGAGCTTGTGTACTACAGCAAGGTCTGGATGAAAAACTGAAGTAGTAGGAAACCACACTGTTCTTTTTCAAGGTTTAATTTTACAGTATTGACTGTAATGTACGTTTAAACCAATTCACATACAGTATGTCCTTAATCAAATAGCATAAACACAAATCACCTAATACTACACCAGTGGCCCAGATGGAAGGTAAAGGAAATTACCACATGTGTCAGCCTTTTGTTATGGTGATGATGGTCAGGAGGTTCTAATGATGCCATTGTTTTCGATAGAAATCCTATAGTGATAAAAAAAAACATGGAGGCTGCCACTGTTAACTTCTCCTTCTGACAATGCTGGTTGTTTTTAGTACTTTCTGATTCACTGACCTAAAATAAGTCTGTACATTGGGAATTCTCACATACTCTGACTTCACTTGCTGCATACAATTTTCTGCTAGATATTACCATCAGAGGATAGCATGACTACCAGGCAGCTAGAATTTTCAGGAGAAGAACAGCATTGGTAAAATATTTATCACTGCGCGTTTCCTTAAAGCAGAACTTAAAGGAGAACTATGGGGCAACGTTTTTTGTCTATAGTTCTTCTCAGGGTCACGGGAGGACATATACTGTGTCCTTCCGTGACCCAAAACTCAGCATATAGCGGGCTATTGTCCGCTATATACTGTGAGCGAAGCAGCCAGGATGGATCCCGACAATACTTTCAAGATCCATCCAGCTGGCTGATTGACAGCTGGCTCTGCCTATCTAGAGGCAGAGCCAGCTGTGCCCGCCCCCTCCCCAGTCCGTCTTTTCAGTCAGCTGGAGGATCGGAAAGGAGAGGGGGAATTCCTGCGGGGCGATGATCGGTAAGTGAGCGATCGGCTGCATGTTTTCATTCCTTTCCCGATCAATAGAGCTGACGTGGGAGAATTTCAATGTTTCACGTCGGCTCTAACTATGGGGATGACTGTAATTCACTCACCCCATAGTTCTCCTTTAACCCTCGCAGTGGTGCTTCCGCTGCACTGCAAGTGTTAAGTGTCCATATTCTCTAAATGTACAAAGTTGTACTCACCCAAACCACGATCCCGGTGTTATAAGGTTCTGTGAGTCATCACATCCATTACAGTGTATAGGATATGAGGATGCCAAGGACATTCTATTTGCCCAGCACACTGTTAATTCTTGAAA